AGGCAGGCTGCGTGGGGCATTCTGGGGGCATTCACATGGACGCGCACAGCTAAAACCAGTGTAGCTAAGACCAGGCGTAAGCCTTGTTGGTGCAACCGGCATAAGTCCACTCCTTAAGACTGGTCTTAACAAAGACCGTCTTAGGAGTTACGACCAGGCGTAGTAAAGACCAGTTGGTGCAACCGGCCCCAGAGGAGTAAAAAAATGCAGACCTTTTCTTGTAGCTTGTTGCCATGGTGAATCGTGGTATCGGGGCTCCACTGATGACGGCTTTTTAAAGTCGTGGTGCACACGCTTAATTCAGAGTGAACAAACTCTGTGTTGATTGAACCGATTGAACTCACCTGTTCTGAAACCCGTAACCCAGAGTTTCCCATCTCAGAGTTACTCAACTCAGATTTCAGGGTTAGGCTCAGAGTTTGTTGAACCTCCTTTCTGAAACGGACCCCAGGAGTGAAAAGCTAATGTAAGGCTATAAACAAATTACACCACGGTCACATGACTCAACGTTACCACCACAGCATGTCTGTAAAGCTGTGTTCAGCATGATGACGTAATGTAGTCTCATTTAGCCACTTGTTAGCAACCAACTGTTTTGAGACACATAAAAGCCTCAAAATTCACGAGTAGGGTATTCAATGATGTATTTAAGTTGTAGAACAAAATTGTCTAAGCTTGTGTTAACCTCAGACCTTATTTCAGGCATCCAACCCAAAACCAATTAAAAATATCCTATTGACTTTGAGACGAGGGAACCAGGAGTGCAATAATGCTAACTCATTTCCGTGTTTTGGGACTCATTTCCTATGATACTCTATAGAAGTGGTGCAAACGTATGAGACTTTCGTGGTCGATAACCATCTCAGAAAAGATCACGTTATCAGAGAATTTACATTATTATCAGTCAGTATGAACCTTAAAGGAATGAAAACATAAGGGTTATTGTTGGTTGAACAAACGTTTTATTACTAAAATTGAAACTTGTCATCATTTTGTTAATGTAGGTAGGTGTAAAAAGTCTCCCCTTTGAAAATAACTGAAATAAAGGGGAGATTCAATGTCCAGTTGCATTTTGTTTTCAGTATCTTAGATAAGCAAATGTACATGGTATAAGCAACATTTATATCACAGCATACCTTGAAACCATTATATCACTGCAACCTTACTCTATACATACATTTCATTTGTAGGGTTTTAAGCAATCCCAGCAGAGTATTATCTGTATATAATTTCATAAGTGGAGACCACACTGATGTTAATAGACTGACCACTCAATTATGTTTATCTTTTAAAAATAGCTGATTGCTTTGCTTCCTTTATATAAAGTCCTGGCACAGTGTTTGTGTCTATGGAGACTCATTAACGTCCTTAAAACAAACAAATTAACAATCCATCACTGCACATTTATACAGTTTATATTAATATTTGATAATGACATAAACACCACTTGTAAAATGAAAATGTATTTTATCTGAATAGGATAAGGTTAGGCTTTACATCACTGCTTTGAAGATGATTAACACACGCCAATGATAGCTGGTACAATGCAAATACTTCACTCAAATAATCTGCAGCTCCACAACACACAAAAGCCTTTTTACAATCACAGTTCTCCCATCAGCCATTGCCATAGCAGTGCAGAAAATATTCAAGCACTTTCAGCCAAGCTGTGACACTTCCTGTGTCAGATCCCACTTCACACTGAGAGAAAATTTGGCCAAAAGAACCAATAGGATATCTCGCTTTTTGTGATATTTACTCCTCGCAGAGAAGGGAAGTCATCATAAATGACTGTACAGAGTCGCTGCCAAGGGAGAGGAGGAAGAGACAGAACATGACATGGTGGCTTGACAGGACTTCACTGTGTCTGAGTGACAGGACATGCAGTCGCCCTGCAGATTTCCCCTTTGTATCTATTGAATGTGAGCTCAGATGGCCCTACTTCCTTATTTGGCACCAACATTGAGGAAATCTTGATTGGAATGGTTTAACCCATTGATTTGATTTGGTAGAGTTTGAATGGCCTTTTATGTTTCATAATGAGTCAGTATGCTGCACTGACTGTGTATCGTTTGAGAAGAGAGTGGATGTTGGACTGCAGCTGGGATGATGGCAGAGCACAGCCATGTGATGTTGCCATTCCTAAATAACTTATTTTATTTTGTGGTTTGTTGCAGTTCGACAGCTAGTTTTATATTTTGGTGATTGTTTTCAACAGAGACACAAATATTTGCTGCTTTTAGGACATCAGAAGGAGGGTTTAAACCTCAAAGAGAGAGGAGGAAAGAGAAAGATTGAGTGTGCAGCAGAGCAGCAGCAGTGTCTCGAGGCAGGATGTAAAAAACTCAATAAACACACTCTACTCTCTGGAGTGGTCCGCCCTGCAGCCATGAACACTACAGTAAACGTATACTGCTGCAAACAGACAACACATGGCCAGACGTGGACGCACACACGTAAACGGACACACATGCACAACTAGTATACTACACACAGAGGTGGAAACACACCAAGCAATGAGGCCCTCACAGTGAACCTGCAGGGCTCCACCCACATTTCAAACACACAGACAAGCGTCAGGGGAAGCAATTTTCACCGTAACACCTGCCTCAGTGTATCGACCTGACCGGGGGTCTTCACAGATAGACTTCAGGGTTTATCAGTGAGGATCAGGAGCTGGAGTCATTCACACAATTATCTCGAGCTCCATTAAACCTGTAAATATGCATTACAAGAGGATGCAGCAAGAAATTTTAAGGATTTACAGGTTTCCTAATATTATTTTGTCAATGGAAAAAAAATCACATATTCCTGGCAAAGAAGTTTAGTCAGTGTTTTTTTATATCATGTAATTATTTTTAATAATAAAGTCATCCATTGAAACAGGAACAAACACTGATGCTCAAATTAACATCTATTTCAAGTGTTGCTCGCACCTTGTTGATACATTTCAGACCACAGCAACATGATGATTGTGATATGTGGGTCAAAGAACATATTAAACATAAATCACACACAGCTTCTTCACATTATAATAATTATAACAATATAAATAGAAGAAGCTAAAACAGACTTTGCAACCCAAGTGGCAGAAAAATGTTCCCATTGAACTTTTTTTGCAAGCCAAGGATACGTTACATGTGTACATTATATTGTTGTGGATACATTGAAACTTAATGTTTCTCAACAAAGCTGTGGTTAATGTGTAGTTAGGTTTAGGCACAAAAATCGTCTCGGAAAAGAATGTGTTTGCTTTAAACACCTGTGTTTAGTGGCACAAAATCTTCTTGTAAAGCAGGAACAGGTTGGTAAAATACACCCAGGTTTAATCAGTGGCGATCCTAGACTCCAGGGGGCCCTAGGTAAAGATGCCCATCTAGCTCCCTTAAGGTCAGTTCAGTCAAATGATATTTGAACATTCAGCTGTATGTAAACTTTAAGGAGCCCCATTTAGGAGGTCTTTGGGCCAGTGGCGGTGCACTGTAAAGTGCCTTTATGGGAGGTTTAAGAGGGTTCATGGTTGTCATTTCAAATCTGCAAATATCATTGGTGTTTGGGAGGCGCTTGTCACAAATTTTTAGGGGGCCCCAAACATTTGCCTGATGGTGCACCTCTGGGTATGGTGGCTCAGTGGCTCAAATGCCGCTGGTAAACGCCCCAAACGTTCGCCACAAGCTACAGAGGCTCCTGTTTGTTAATTGAATAAATTGTTAAATTGCCAGTATGTCTTGTTTCTTCATACTTCGATCATCCAATCCAACAAACGCCAAACAAGAGTCAGCAACAACAAAAAAAAGCTGTTTGGCATTGGCAGAGAAGATTTGGCAAATTTTTCATGGGCACAACCCACATACTCAGCTCTGCTGCTCATCCCACAAATACATGTTCCTTAATAAACAGGCTTTCCGACGGTATAAGATTTATTGCCAAGAAACATTTTTACAACAAAGAAAAAATCTACCAAACACAGATTTCCTTACTTTTGTGCTTAGTTTATTATGTCACTTTAGAAACATCTGTATGATGTGTATGAAACGTGCAAATGTAACATGTTTGTGTTTCACAGTAACGTCAGGCCAACATTTTCTTCTCATGACTTGGCTTGACTTTGACTCTGAAGGGCATTTCTAAAGAATTTGACATGCTTGTAAAAATTCATTCAACATGTTGGTAATGCATTATTGGTACATAAACTGTTGATCCTAAAAGGTATATATTCTTAGAGCAGGATTAAATAATTACAGTTTGTAACAGATCATGAAATCACAGTTGTGTTTATCAGATTAAGCTCAAAATGTTGACCTTTTTGCTCACAATGAGCCCAATGTCAAAATATAACAACAAAATACAAAATGTGAAAGTTTTACCTCTGTGATTTTATTATTTAATACATAAAATAGTGAACTTTTCTAGATCATTTCAGTTGATTTGTATCATTAAATGCTGGAAAAAAAATGTTATCTGTCTACTTTTATACTATCAAGATTGTTCAAAGGATGAGAGAATTCTTTTTTTCCATTAGCTATTTTTATGCTCTCTGTACATGGCGGCAAAAATGAAAACTAACTCAAAGACAAGACATTAAACGCTACAGTGCATAAGCTGTGTGTGTAAAATTCAGACACAGAAGAGTTAGAAGATCATTTTGTGGGCTTTAACACGTTCCACATTGTGCAGTTTCTGAAAATGTTATCATCTTGCCGTTGGCACTGCTGCAGTTGCTAACAAGCTCTACAGTTGCAGACGTTCCTTCTGGGGTCCACCTGTCTTGGCAGAAGATGGGCAGGTCTCATGCCTGTGGCGTGAAGGATTAGAGTAGAGATAAGAGATTAAGAAAGGGAGTGAGAAACTGCCGGTGGTGCTGGGAAGCAGCCCAGAAGGGCCTTGCGTTTCCAAACAAGCAGTGGGTGGGAGAGGAAAGAGGATGAATGGCTACTACTGGCTGGGCTGGAGCGTGAACCGTGGTAGAGACAGACAGAGACAGAGGGCTGACTGAGTGGCAGGATGGGAGAGACGGGTAAGAGGAGGAAAGGGGGGAGTGCTAGCCCTCCAGCTATCAGTACCAGTAGGAGGAGAGGAGAGAGTTTAAAGGGGAGGGGGGGGAGGAAAAACATGAGAGAGAAGGAGGTAGAGCAGACACAGGCTGCCTGCTTGGATTTGAAGAGGAAGGAAGGGAGAGAGGAGATCCTGGCGGCTCGCTCAGAGAGGAGGGTGGATGTTTGCAGTCTGAGAAGGCCGCAGCACTGTGACTGTAGTGTCACTGTGAGGACACTGGGAAGGTAAGGTGACGTTTTCAGTGAGGGGATTACAAGAACATTAGTGTGGTGTTAAGTTATGTATGAAGGAGTTTCTATTTGAGTCTAACTTAAATTATACAGAAACAACTTTCTGCAAAGTTCAGGAGGCCTGTCTAACCCCAGAGGGAATCGTCTTGTGATCTGCATTGCTGGAAACAAAGTCACTTTCTTTTTCTTAGAGTTGTGTTTTTGTGTATGTGCACGCCGCCGCTCGTGGTCTGTTTGTGTGTTTTCCTGCTGCAAACCCTCGTGAGATAAGAACGACGCAACACACACAGATATCCTCTCTGTGCTTTACCCCGGTGACCAATGAATGAGCATCCTTGTAAAGAGAGCTCAAAGCAGGCGAGTCTCTTCTAACCGTCCCTCAGGCCACTCTCTGCTCCTCTTCTGTTCTACATTAATTCTTTAACAAGCTGCTATTATGCTGCTCATACAGACATGGCTCCAGACGAGCTGATCTGGGTTTGAATGGGACGAGAGTAAGACGTTTTTATGCTGCATATGACCTGCTCACAGTAGAATCATGCATATGTAAGGCTGCAACTGAATGTAACTTTCATGGTTAACGTTTCCATATTACTTGTTTTTGTCTAACAAGCAGTCTAAAACCCAAAGTTACTGAATAACATAGAAAGCAGGATAAGTAGGCCCTCAACTACTGTAAAAATACTCCATTACAAGTGTCAGCCGTACCTTCAAAATTTAACAAAGTAAAAGTACAGAAACGTCACCAGTAAAATGTACTTGAATTATCAAAATTAAAAGTACTTGTTACACAGAATGGCTGCTTTCAGATTTTGTTATTACTGATCAGCAGTTTTTTTAATGTTCTAGCCGGTGAAGTTGGAGCTAATTTTTTCTATTTAAAAATAGTTGAAACTACGTGAACTGGTCTCTCTGCCTGATGTTAAAGCTCTCACAAGTACAAGGATGAATGATTCGGTTGGGTCTTGTCATTGTGTGTAAGCGTCCTAATATTTCTACATGTAACTGTATATCTTTTATGTTTTTATTGTGTCGTTTTCGGCTGTAACTTGTTGTATACTGCTGTCTTGGTCAGGTCTCCCCTGTCAAAGAGATTGTTGATCTCAACAGGACTTACCTGGTTGAAAATGGGGTAAATAAATAGAAAAATAAGACTTTAGGTACCATTGGGTTGTATGGGAGCTATTTAAAAGAACGTTCAGATTGTTTGATTTATTCCAGATATTTTCTTTTTGTAGACTTTATCTTTTGCATAGGATGAGCAGTTGTGGACAGAGTACTGAAAATCTTTACTTCAAGTACAGTTACTACTTATTTTAAAGTGAAAATTACCAATTGAGAAACCTTGTCAGTTACAAGTAATGAAAGTCAGATTTATGGCAAATGTAGTGGAGTACAAAGTAGATTACTGGCTTAAAAATATACTTGAGTAAAGAGTGTAGGTACAGAATTTAAAGATGAACATGAAAAGTACTTGCTTTTTTTTTTTTACCTGTTTACCCATGTGCTTCACTTGTTATCTGTTATTAACCACCCCTGAGGACAGGCATGCACCTGGGAGGTTTGCTGTTTTTCTAACTAGGGCAAGAGAAGCAGGAGGAGCCATGATTTCTTTGTTTGCTTGTTGAGGATGAATAAACTACAAGAACACAAACATCTGTATTACCAACGGACTACTATTGCCTGTGTGCATTTCATTCATGTGGTGCATCATTTGTATTTTGGTTTCAAGTTTGTTTAATTTTGATTTTGGACAAATACAGGTCGTTAAATCTATTACAATGCATCAGATATTATGAATGTATGTAAAATCTTAATCTGAAAGGCGAACTATCCGCCAAGTGTTAGAGCAATGCATTGAAGTTAAGTACAGTATTTCCCTCTGATATGTAATTTAGTAGAGGTGTAAAGTAGCAGAGCAGAAAAGTGTTGATTTATTAACCTGACTACAGTTACTATTGTAAACATGTTCACCAGTGAAGATGAAAGTAAAAGCCATCCCCACATTCACATTAGTTTGGTGTTTCTCCACATATTTGTGTTTTTTTATGCTTTGTCTCTGGGATGTCTGCTGCTTACAGTCTGGGAACTAGTTGCTACCTTTCTTTAGAGCCCAGTCTCACTCCAAATTCGTCGAAATTCGGCACTTGGGCAGTGACTTGCAGCGTCAGACATCAAAGAAAGAAGGCATCCATGATACACAGCCAGTTGCAGTTATAGTTTAATGGTGCCTGGCGACATTAGGGGGGAATGGAGCGGGACAAAGACTTAAGTTAAGGTGGCAAAAGTCCGGCTGGGGCGGATGGGAGTGGTGGTGAATGGGTCCAACAAACACTGACTTTCACCCGCGAGAGCGGCGTTCACGCCCCGTAAGATTCTAAAGGCAAACCCTGTTCTTTTGTTGCCTAAACCTAACCACGTGCTTTTGTTGTCGAAGGAAAAAAAAGTCAATTAGCCGTGTTGTACTGACATAGTGCATTTATTTTTAAATTTCCTGTGAAAACAGAAGTGTATCTTGAAAGAAGACAATGCATATAACAGGCAGAACTTGACACGGTGTCTCAGAACGTCAACAACCAACACACCCAGGGTACCTTTCATGTCGTATGTGGATGTGGAAAGTCCATGACCAAAACGTGAATATGTGACGAGGTGGAAGTGAGAATGTGTTGTTCTTTGTAGCCCAACCTCACCTGAGCACTGTAGAGGCACATGCCGATTAACATCCTGAAAAGAAAGACTAAGAAAATGCAGGCAGAGGGCAGAGTTTCTGTAGTAAAATATACCGCCACACACTTCTATTGGGTCATAAGTGATGATTGAGAGGGATTAGTAATGTGTGTGTGTCTATACATTGCTTTCTTTTTTGGAAAATCCTGCAAAGTACATCTTTAAATAATCAAGGAACAGTTTCAGCACCATATGTTAAATTCAAAAAGACAAAAAAAAAACACTGTGACACTGTAATAGCAGTGGTGTCATAATACTGCTGCAGGCTCACTATGTGTCACATCTGAGTGCAAAATGATGGACCACGCTATTGTAGCCTACTGGATGGCATTTCTCCAGTCTGGTTTGAGACAGAAAGGGACGGGGAGAGACAATAGCAGCCACATGGTCTGAGGATGTTTCTATTTGCATGTGTACACCACTCCCACCAGTTCCCCTCCACATCCCAAGAACAATGCTGAATAGAGGATTGCCTGATGTCATCCTGCACTGCTGCTACTGATCTGACAAGAGTCACAAATCCTCTCACGCCAGATCCTGTTGTGAACTGATATGGTCCATCAGTAGTGTCACTGGAATTTATACTCATAAACAGATCCAGTTTCAGAAGATTTCTCAGAAAGTAGCCACATGAAATGACAGCAGCTTCTTTCCTTATGGGACAAAGGTCATTTGACGTCTACTTCCTGTGACTGGGTCAGCCTTTGAGTCCTTAGACAGAGCCAGCTCACACCAAAAAAAATCAAGAGCTCCATCAGAGCATGCTTGTGGTGGAGTGACAAACAAAAGAAGCGTCTTGAGTCGAACGTAACCACTTGTCTTTTGTTGGTGTGCAGCGGCGGCAAACAAAGGCTGCTTTTCTGTGTTCAAGATCCACCAGAGACAAAATAGAGTGACGAACAACAGGACACACTGCCATCTGTCATTTCGGTTGATACAGCTGTTTTTAGTGATTAAGTTATTTGGAAGAAATGTCTTACTTCTGCTTTTCCTTCTTGTCACATTAATCACTGCTTCTAAGGCAACGCGAAATGGTGTCAAAACAGTTTTCACCCAGTTTTCACCCTTCGAGCGTCTCACACCCATGACCAATTTGGACAATTTCCCACAAATGCATGTGTGACAGTTATCATGTCTGCACAGATGGGACAGCCCACCCAGCAACTGTGGGTTTGGTAGATAGGAATTTGACATCAGGCTTCGCTGCTTCTGTCTGCATTATCGTCATCATGTCAAGTTGCAAACATTACTTAAAGGATAAAGACAACTCACTCTTACAGTGTAATGTAATTTCTTCCTTATGTTATAGTACCAGCTTGGCTAAATTTTCCTCCTCTGCCTGCACAGAGTGTCAAAAATGCTACTCTATTTGGATGAATGCTGAGTCCAGGTCAAAGCTGTTACCCTTTATTGATTTTGCTGTAAAATTATATACTGTAACTATACTACATGTTTTAAAGGAGCAGATTATAAAATGAAAGTCTTAGAGTTTCGGGGCTGTTTGTCAAACAACCAGTACATCACATTGGGCTGTGAGAAACTGTGATGGGCATTTTTCACAATTTTCTGACATTTAGGGTGCTTTCACACCTGCCCTGTTTGGTTTGTTTGCCCCCAAAGTGCGGTCCGTTTGGGCAGGTGTGAACACAGCAATCGCACTCGGATGTGCATAAAAACAATTGGGATGAGACCTTCTTGAAGAGGTGGTCTCAGTCTGGTTACAAACAAACTCTGATACGGTTCATTTGTGGTGAGAACGTGTTCCGACCTGGATTTGAACCAACTGCAGTCACATGACACATTGTTTGGGTTAAACATGAGCATGTTACAGTCCTGGAGGATTATTAATGTGCACCTCCTCCTGTACTGCCTTAATATGCACATTCAGCACATCCAATGCATCAAAACATTGTTTTCTAGTTGGAGCCGCGCCTGGTTTTCAAACTGTATGGTTTGACTTAAATGAACAATGACAGCAATATAGTCCACGATGAGCAGCGCTAAAATCAACCTGCGTAGTTGTCCCTCCATTGTGACATTAGAAAGTGTCACATTTATCTTGCAAGTGTACTCTTCTTCACATATAATGATTCGTGTGATATCTAACAAATTAGCCCCCCGACGAATGACATTGCAGACTTAAGGCTTACTTACATAGATTAGGTTAAAGAAAAAAAAATGGTGATGATGTGCCTTAAAATGACTGAGAGTTCACTTGGTTTCTCACAGTTCTGTGTCAGTCTCCTGGGTCTAAGTCCTGTGTTTTGTGACCAATCCACCATCCCCAACCTGCCACCTCATGGGGACTACTTCCTTTTTTTACTCCTGTCAGCACATTGGTCAGTAGGTCAGAGTCTTCCCAAATACATGATTTATACACAAATTACTGGCTCATAATTACGTGGGATTTATACAAATTTTGTGCATTATTTTTTGTTGGTATACATACGCAGAGTGCATGAAAACAGCCTGATATGAAACAGCAGATGTAACATATTTGTGGTTTGCAGAAACACACACTTACAACATTTTTCCTCTTGTGACTGGACTGTAAACAACCACCAGTAATCTAACATAATGTTCTCTCCAAACTGAAACTTAAACTTACTTGTTCATCTCTTTTTTTAACCCTCCTCAGATGTCATGGCGTCCAACCTACCGAAGCTCCAAGTTTCGAAATGTCTACGGAAAAGTAGGCAACCGGGAGCACTGCTTCGACGGTGTCCCCATCACCAAGAACGTCCATGACAACCACTTCTGTGCCGTCAACTCCAAGTTCCTGGCAGTTGTCACCGAGAGTGCCGGCGGGGGCTCTTTCATCGTCATACCTGTATCCCAGGTAACTGGCACTGTCACACTTTTGATTGGCTGTTTGTTGTTGTGCCAACCAGGGGCAAAGATTAACGAGGTCTTCCCCTCTTTGGAGACAGCCTGAGGTTATTTGTCTACCTTACTGTATGCTTCAGTGTCGGAGGGGATATGATGTTATATTATTGTGTGTTAAATGGTCTGTTGTTAGTTTCAGAGAGTATTTGGGCATTTATATATACAGTACAGGCCAAAAGTTTGGACACACCTTCTCATTCAATGTGTTTTCTTTATTTTCATGACTATTTACATTGTAGATTCTCACTGAAGGCATCAAAACTATGAATGAACACATGTGGAGTTATGTACTTAACAAAAAAAGGTGAAATAACTGAAAACATGTTTTATATTCTAGTTTCTTCAAAATAGCCACCCTTTGCTCTGATTACTGCTTTGCACACTCTTGGCATTCTCTCCATGAGCTTCAAGAGGTAGTCACCTGAAATGGTTTCCACTTCACAGGTGTGCCTTATCAGGGTTAATTAGTGGAATTTCTTGCTTTATCAATGGGGTTGGGACCATCAGTTGTGTTGTGCAGAAGTCAGGTTAATACACAGCCGACAGCCCTATTGGACAACTGTTAAAATTCCTATTATGGCAAGAACCAATCAGCTAACTAAAGAAAAACCAGTGGCCATCATTACTTTAAGAAATGAAGGTCAGTCAGTCCGGAAAATTGCAAAAACTTTAAATGTGTCTCCAAGTAGAGTTGCAAAAACCATCAAGCGCTACAACGAAACTGGCACACATGAGGACCGACCCAGGAAAGGAAGACCAAGAGTCACCTCTGCTTCTGAGGATAAGTTCATCCGAGTCACCAGCCTCAGAAATGGCAAGTTAACAGCAGCTCAGATCAGAGACCAGATGAATGCCACACAGAGTTCTAGCAGCAGACCCATCTCTAGAACAACTGTTAAGAGGAGACTGCGCGAATCAGGCCTTCATGGTCAAATAGCTGCTAGGAAACCACTGCTAAGGAGAGGCAACAAGCAGAAGAGATTTGTTTGGGCCAAGAAACACAAGGAATGGACATTAGACCAGTGGAAATCTGTGCTTTGGTCTGATGAGTCCAAATTTGAGATCTTTGGTTCCAACCGCCGTGTCTTTGTGAGACGCAGAAAAGGTGAACGGATGGATTCCACATGCCTGGTTCCCACTGTGAAGCATGGAGGAGGAGGTGTGATGGTGTGGGGGTGTTTTGCTGGTGACACTGTTGGGGATTTATTCAAAATTGAAGGCACACTGAACCAGCATGGCTACCACAGCATCCTGCAGCGACATGCCATCCCATCCGGTTTGCGTTTAGTTGGACGATCATTTATTTTTCAACAGGACAATGACCCCAAACACACCTCCAGGCTGTGTAAGGGCTATTTGACCAAGAAGGAGAGTGATGGAGTGCTGCGGCAGATGACCTGGCCTCCACAGTCACCGGACCTGAACCCAATCGAGATGGTTTGGGGTGAGCTGGACCGCAGAGTGAAGGCAAAGGGGCCAACAAGTGCTAAACACCTCTGGGAACTCCTTCAAGACTGTTGGAAAACCATTTCAGGTGACTACCTCTTGAAGCTCATGGAGAGAATGCCAAGAGTGTGCAAAGCAGTAATCAGAGCAAAGGGTGGCTATTTTGAAGAAACTAGAATATAAAACATGTTTTCAGTTATTTCACCTTTTTTTGTTAAGTACATAACTCCACATGTGTTCATTCATAGTTTTGATGCCTTCAGTGAGAATCTACAATGTAAATAGTCATGAAAATAAAGAAAACGCATTGAATGAGAAGGTGTGTCCAAACTTTTGGCCTGTACTGTACATGTGTGTGTATATATATATATATATATATTATACGACTCAGTGTGTGTCAAAGCATTTTGGATGTTGAGGTGTACTATACTGTGTATTTGTTTGGGGTTTACACCCTTAATCTTGTCTATAGGTTTAACAGATTACTTTGGTTTCAGCTACTTCACAGCACGTGAAGTTTGAAAACAGTTTTCTCACAAATTCAGCACAGACCCTCCCTGCTGGTTCAGAGCATGCCAGCCTTGAGAATTTAAAGCCAAAGTTGTAACAGGACAGAACTGCCAGCAGGATCACATAAGGACATACTGGTATTTCCCATAAACAAGACAAAAGGGCATTGTTGTAATAGAAAGCGTGAAATTCTTTTTCCTATTATAGGAAGAGGGAATGTGTTTCTTTTTACTGAGTATTCGTCACATTCAGTAAACATCGCTTTACTGCTGTGGCTGGATTATTCATTACACAACAGTCCTGCAGATTTCAATATGAAACATAAGCCTCAGAGTCGTGCATGTTATACACGTAGTAAATTAATGAATCATGGAAGGCATTACTTGGGGAGTATTTTTATCCGAGAACTGCATTTAACTGGAATCATGTTTGCTCTCATCATATGTGTGGTGGTGATACTGGGTTTGATACAGAGAGTACCAGATAGTTTCTCATTTTGCTTTTATGCCTACTATGAATTGAGTTGCCTTTATTCCTTTATGATTCTGGTTGTTGGTGAGGTTTTTTTTTTTACTGTATTAGAAACTGCAGTACAAACAGGAGTGTTATTTTTTCCTTAGTTGCCTCTCACTCCACTTTGTAGGTCTGAGAAAAGCCATAAAGTGCTTTGCCTCTTTAAGAGCGACTCTGCCAAGGTACTTGAAAAGCTCTTGGCTGCCATGCAGGGTCTAGTCAAGCTGTTATCAGGCAGAAGAAGTATCCAGAAAGCTGAGCAGCTCTGCTGTGAAGCAGGGAGACCTCAGCTGCATTTTACTTTACAGCATCATGAGCTATAGACGTCAGTCATGGAACAAGACAGACGACTGGCTCTGATATGTAGGTGATTAGATGGTTAGTGTGAAAAGCTGCGATGATGTCTGCCTTTTTCATTGTTTTCTTTAGAGCTGAACTGAAGCATGGATATAAAGAGAACTGGATACAGCGTTAAAGGCAGGGCCCCGTTCATTTGTATGGAAGTTGCTCAGTGGTGCATGAAGCCAAAAAGGTTTGATTTGTGGGTATAAAATTATCCAGATCTTCCACATCCACGGGTCTATAAAGCAGGCGCACTAGTGATTCCTTTAAACCACCTCCCAAACACTCGACCTTGGGCTGGCTCACATGAATGATACTTTATAATAACTCTGGATTTGGCTGTTATTGAATTTTACAACTGTTAGGACATAATTATTTAACCCTTTAAAACCTGGGCCAATTGGCTTGATTTCTTTAAAGAAAAAAAAACATGGGAAGAAGGCAATAAGCAATGAAAGAAGAAGTGACCCCCCCCC